CCACGCTCCGTCGAGACTAGTTAAATCCCAAGTGTCGATTACTTTCTGCTCTCCCGCAGTAGTCGGCACGACACATTGAACCTCTCACGGACTTTGTCCAGCTGGTACCTACATCTGACAACCACAACTTCTCTGCATTGCGTGGCTGTTCATTGCTTTGCACCTCACTGATAAACATTTGAATGCTTTTTACAAGACATTGGACCAAGTACCAGACACGGAACAATATAGATGCCAATGATTTTACCCACATCCTCGACTATGACAATACATCTCAGAAAATGGTCCTGTGCAGTTTAACTATGAAAGCTGGTTAACAGATGACCAGGAAAAACTTGTGTTCCAAGCAAAAGCTGGTGACACTCTGCTTGTTGTCAAGTTTACACAGAGATATAATGCAGATACACATTGCTTGTGTGCCAACAGTGGGCTTGCACCAAAGCTACTTTACATCAGTGAGAATGAAATCAGAGGCTGGAAAATGATTGTAATGGAATATATTGATGGTCTGACACTTTATATTAATATGGCACAACTTGATCGAGAAGATTATGATGCTCTTCTGGTTGATGTTAAAGAGGCAGTCCAGAAACTACATGAGTGAGATATTGTCTTTGGTGATCTTTGCAGTACAAACATTATAATTAATGAGGTTAGTGGGAAGTACCATGCAATGCTGATAGACTTCGATTGGGCTGGTAACCATCACAAGGATCACTATCCATATATAATGAACCCACAAATCAAGTGGGCACCAGGAGTTAAAGGGAATACTTTAATGGACAAAGCTCATGACATATACTGGCTGAATTTCTTGGAAACCTTATTCCCGAAGATTTCAGAATGATCAGGAAAGTGAACATGAGTTATAAACAAAGTCAAAATAATGATAAACAGATTTTAGATATTTGAACAATCAGTTTCATAAAATATGTTAGTGTTGCTTGTTAAGTCTTCACAATAAAATACCACATTTGGTTACTGTCATGAAATATTCCTGTGTGATATACAGCGTGTTACAAAAGTCTTTGGACATCTATTTTTAGCTATAGCATCCGAACGGCCGCATTAAATCACAAGATTAAACATTCATTTGAAAGGTAAAAACCAGATGATTTTATTTAAAAAAAAATTAATAAGGAATGCGCTCCCCATTATTATCAATAATAAGCTGACAACGTTCCTTCATTGACCTAATTAA